TCCGTGGGGAGCCCCGGCCCCCTGGGCCCCGGGTCTGCGGGGGGGGGGGGGGCTCTGCCCTGGGGCTGGGAGCTCAGAGTTTGGTGACTGCATGGTCACACGTGGCCACGGAGGGACCAGGATGGGGACCAGGACCGGGACTGGGACCAGATCCAGGACCAGGACCAGGACATGAACCAGGACCAGGACCAGGACCAGGACCAGGACCTGGCAGATGTAAGAAGACAAATTAGGGACACCCCTAATTCAGGTGGGTGCCGTGTCCCCCACATGCCACACACGTGTGTCCCCATGCATGTCCCTCACCCGGAGCCTGGCGACAGTAGATGAAGGTGCCAGCAGCGAAGACCACCAGCCCCAGGGTCATTATCACCGCCGCCATCACCACTTTCACCATCAAGCCCAGGGACAAGCCAGGACCTGTGGGGACAGAGCAGCCGCGCTGAGCCACTGGGGACCCAGGCATGCGGGTGCCACGTCCCCGTCACCTGTGCTCACCCCAGTCCTCCTGGAGGGACCGGTCCAGGCTGGCGTGCTGCACGAAGCACGTGAAGGTGTCCCCAGCCTTGGCAGTGACCATCAGGGTCACCTGCGTCTGGTAGGTCCAGTCGCCGTTGGGCAGGAGCTTGGTGGTGTCGCCGGTGGCCACCATGTCCCCGTTGTGCAGCCAGAGGACGGTCACCTCGGGGGGGTAGAAGCCCCAGACGTGGCAGGTGAGGAGGACGGCGTTCGGGGTGTTGGGGAGGGGGACGGGGACGATGCGGACTTGGGGTGGTGCTGGGGTGGGGAGGGGACCATCAGCAGCGGTGACGGTCCCCTCCCCACCCCACGTGGTGTCCTGCGCAGTGGCTGATGTGACAGCCCATGCAATGTCCCCGTGCAATGTCCCCGTGCGTGTGCCTGCGCACGTCCCGTACAACGCCCCGTGCAACGTCCCCACTCAATGTCCCGTACAATGCCCTGTGCAATGTCCCCATGCAACATCCCCGTGCATTCCCCGTGTGATGTCCCCATGCAACGTCCCTGTGCAACATCCCATTCAATGTCCCATGCAACGCCCCGCGCAACGTCCCTGTGCAACGTCCCCGTGCAGTGTCCCCATGTATTCCCCATCCAACACCTCATGCAATGCCCTGTGCAACACCCCATGCAACACCCCATGCAACGCCCCGTGCAATGCCCGTGCAACGCGCTGCAGGGCTTACTCCGCCGCAGCGCCGTGGAGGCCCAGAAGTGGGTGGCCAGGTCGCGGCAAGCCTGGCGCCGGTCTTCAGCACGCTGCACCCAGGCAGTGTCGTTGTTGAGGAAGGTGGCCACCAGGCCGGCGACACCGTGGAGCAGCCCCCAGTCGCAGGGGATGAAGTGCCGGGCGTCGGGGTTGTAGCAGACCAGCGGGTTCTTGTTGAAGATGAGGGTGAAGCCGAAGGCCAGCGCGGAGCCATTGGCCGCCAGCGGGCAGGAGCTGGCCACATGCACCAGGAAGGCGGCTACGAGGGGGACATGGGGGTGGCCACGGTCCCCAGGGGTTGGACCCCCCCCCCCATCCGCT